AATGTTTCATTTTGATTACACAAACAAGTAGTGATAGCATTTTTAGAACACAGAAACAATAAAAAAGTGCCATTTTCAAAATCTCTATTGCTCTCTTGTCATTTTAGATATGATAGAAAACTCATTATCAACAAATGCCTTTGGAATGATTGCACACTAAATCGTCTTCTAGGCTGTTATCAACGTGAAACAAATGACACGGTATATTATATTGGTTGATAGAGAAGCTAATAGGACAGGGATCTTCAAACTTGGCCGTTTTATGACTTGTGGGTTTCAACTCCCAGAATTCTTAGCCAGCGTGCCTGGCTGAGGAATTCTGGGAGTTGAAGTTCACAAGTCATAAAATGGCCAGGTTTGAAGACCCCTGTAATAGGAGTTTAAATAATAACACCACTTTTGAAAATAATTATGAGGCTATTTCTAAACATTAGCTTAGGAATTAGGTTATTTCTGAACACCAGTTTATCATATTCTGTTTACCAGTTTTTCATATCCATTTTTCTATTCTATTCTATTCTATTCTATTCTATTCTATTCTATTCTATTCTATTCTTATTCTACAGGAGGACGATCGAGAGCATCCTGTCATATAGCATCACAGTCTGGTTGGGAAGCATCACTGCCTTAGACAGGTAGGTGGTGCAGAGAGTGGTGAGGATGGCCGAAAAGATCATTGGCAGTTCCCTCCCTCCCATCCAGGACATAGCACAGAAGCGTTGCTTGAGCAGTGTCCCTATTTGGGACACTACACATCCTCTTCACGACCTGTTTTCCTTGTTACCTTCTGGGAGGAGGCCTCGTGGTATCTGAAGCAGAACATCCAGATTCAGCCATAGTTTCATTCCATATAGCATTAACCTCATAACTCTCAAGCTTCCGCCTTCCATTATATATTTAAGATGGACAGTGTTTAATAATTTGTTATGTATACGTAGGAATGTGGATCTATACATGTGTTGTATATAGTATGTTTAGGTGTGTCATGTATGTGTTCACTTTGAGAGTGGGCAACTAAATTTTATTTTTGATGTGTGCCGTTGTGCCCACAGTAAAAAAATGACAGTAAAGATTATCTTCTCTTCTCTCTTCTCTTCTCTTCTCTGTTGTTCCATTCCATTCTTTCTTCACCAAGAGTTACTTTCGATAATGAAATAGACAGCACATAACTTAAATAAATAAATCAATAAACACCTTTTTAGAAAGAGTGCTCCAGAATTTTTCTGAGTGTCAGATGCCAGGTGCAGGATGAAGCAAGGTGAAAAACAAGATTGTGACATTAAGAACAGTTCCTCTCATTTCACCAGTGTTCTTCTCTGCCTGACATGTCACTTATACTATTTCTGAATGGAATGCAGTAAATAGAATATGTATGTGTAATTAAACATCCCACTTTGATTTGTGGTTTACTGTGAATGGCCATGCGAAAGCGAAATGGATGGTTTTGGGCCAGACACTCTCTTTCAGCCAAACTCGCCTCAAAGGGTTGTTGTTGTAGGGAAAATAGAAGGAAGGAGTATTATCAAGTGTTGCCATCTTGTGTTACTTATAAAATAATAAAGGTAGGATAAAAAAAAATCTAAAAAAAATAGCCCCGAGACTCAGTGGTCATATCTGATATCAGGAAGCAATGCCTTTTGTGCAAATTATTAGTGGTGAAATTATTTCTTGGTGTTAAGTATTAGGCTGATGACAAAGGAGTAATTTTAGTGAACATTCAAACTGTTCCCCTCCCTTAGTCACTTTGACAAATACACATACAGTTTAAGTGTAATTTATCAAACAATACAGTTGGCTGAATTCACAAAACCCATTAAGTTGCAGATTATAATATAGAGCACATGCTGGGATTTACAGGTCATATTTAGGCAAAAGCAATTATGACCATATAACATGTGACTATAGCAATATTAATGTAGAATGCAGAATATGTGTCCCTTCATTTGAGTTGAACATGGCAAACAAGGCACTTAATGTTTATGCACTATGCATTTCTATGAAAATTGAGAACATTCTTAAAAGTTTTTTGAAAAACAGAAGTAGGCCAAATAAATAAAAGCACTTTCTTTTTGCTGTCAATAAACTTCATTTTTAAATTTTCACTTTATGCACTGTGAAAAATCACACACACAAAAAATAAACTGTATAGTAACATTTATATAAGACACTGCTGGTAAATGTGCACATTAAAATATAAAGTTAGAAGATAAAAGGAATGTACATTTCTATATACATTGCAGGAAAACACATTTGATATAACATATTAATGCAGATAAATCTAGCTAGAGGGATTACAGCAAATACATAGCAGGCTAAAGGGACCATATACACACATTGAATTTCAGCTTCCACAGCCTTTTGAAAACGAAGACATGCTCTATGACTGAAACAAATATGGGTAGTGCTTGACTCATGACCAGAACCGAGCCCAAAATTCCCATTGCTAAGCAAAACAATTGTTGATGACTTTTCTTGCCATAGTTGTTAAGTGAATCATTGAAGTTGTTAAATTAATAACACTGTTATTAAGTGAATCTGGCTTCCCCATTGCCTCTGCTTGTCAAAGATTGCAAAAGATGACTATATGATCCTGGGACTCTACAACTTTCATAAATACATGCCAGTTGCCAAGCGTTTGATCATGTGACCATGGGGATGCTGCAATGGTCGTAATTGTGAAAAATGGTCATAAGTCCATAAGTTTTTCAGTGCCATTGTAACATCAAATGGTTACTAAACAATTGATTGTTAAGTCAAGGATTCTACATGGATGCAGAAAACAAACTGTATGAAAGAAAAAAGTCACAGAAAACTTGCAAAATAAAATATACAAGCTGAATACTTTGTACACACATATTAACAATTTAAATTGATTTTTTTTCAGAATGCATTTATTATAAAGAAATCTCATGTACACAGAAAAAAAAGCAATTGATAACAATATTGTTTTATTATGGCTAAGTTCCTTTGGCTGGAGCTCCAAGTTAACATCTAAAATATTATTATTATTTTTAAAAAAGTGCCCTCCGACAAAATTTCAACTAACTTCTTCACTAACACAACTTTTATAGTCAAGGTTTATTTTAAGTTAGAAATTCTGGTTTCTGAAATCCAAAGGGTGTCTGTTTTGCATAACACTTAAGAGCTGTCCAAGGTGGAATAATATGGCAATAGACCAGGGGTAGGCAACCTTGGCTCTTTTATGACTTGTGGACTTCAACTCCCAGAATTCCTGAGCCAGCAATAGACTGTATAGTAATACTAGCCAAGCTTTTCAGTTTAGTTCATGAGAATATAACCTCTAGTGAACTTATTTTAAGAAAGTATTGGTGCATTAAGTGTTTTGAGCTCAACATTTTCCATTCTGAGTTTGAAATGATTTTTAGTTTACGATAACTGTTCCAGCCAGTTCCAGAAATATTCCAATGCTGTTTTAACTATTCTGTGGTGTTCTGAACTTGAAACAGTACCATTCTGAATCCAAGACACTTCCAGGATAGTCAGATCAGCCTGGGAAACTTCCATAAATCAGAACAAGCCATTTGAACTTAAGACGTATTTTGAATTTGAAATATTGTTCACCTTGTTAAAATATAAATTATTAATGAATCAAGGATTCAGAATTTGGCACTTCTCTTTCTCAACAGAAGCAAGATGGAGTTTTCTGTTTATTCACACAAGGAGAATTCTTATTAATCTAGAGTTTAAAGAGGCTGTGTAAAAATGGCCTACAGTCTTCATACCAGTAACTTTCCAGATGTTGTCCATACCCAACCAGAATGGCTACTATCCTGAATAATAGAAATTGATCATACAAAATCTGGGACTCCAGGTTTGCACAACATTTAATATGAGAAATTTAAAACCATGGATGCTGGGTATTCAACTTTGTGTTTTATAATATTTTGTGGCAAAGACTTTGGAAGGAATCTAAGAAGTTAAACCAAGCAACAATCAAATTCAACAACCAGTTATCCACTTTTCTGAATGTAAGGTGGAATTGGTACAGCTTCAAAATCAATCATACTATTTAAAATTTGAAGTTCTTATCAAGCCAAGTTTATGATCAATTGGAAGCATAACATTCTGAAATGTAGTTTAATTTCCAGATAGGCCAGGTTTAGTTAACTTTGCATGTCCATTTTGCCTTTGTGTTTCTGAAATGAGAGTTGTGTACTGTTAGCAGTACGTTTTTGAAATCAGGGTTTTTAAATGTAAGAAAATTGAAAATTTCTGGGAAAAAATGTAGAAATTCTTATGTTTTGGGAAAGGGATCCAGTGACAAGTAGAAAATTTGAGAACAAATACTAACTTTGACTTGGCTTTTCAGAACTTAATCAGCTGAAGATGATAAAATATTACCCAGGAAATGTTAGGCACTTAATTTGTTAGGATAAATAGCTTACAAGAGTTCTTGTAGTAATCTAAACTGTGATCATTTTTATCAGATCTTTGTAGTATTCCAGACCAAATGATTGTTAATATTGAAAAAGCCTAATAATTTTCTCTCTTCAAATACTCTTGCAAGGTGCAAAAGCTTTTCCTTCATAGAGTATACAATTAGGCTGCAAATAGCTAGCTAACAGACTATTAACAAAAACAGTTTGCCAAGCAAAAAGTTGAATACAGCCTTATTCTTTCATAATATGAATGGTATAATTTCCCTCTCTGTAACATTTGAGGATTTTCTGAAGAATGTAACATAGTTATCAGTGCATCTGCAAACAAATTTGAAGAATTCTATTCTATTCATTTCAACCACTAAATCTACAGTGTTTACTGGAAAAGGAACTGGGAACACGCAGAGAATAGAGAATGATGTTTTAATCCTCTCTCTTTTGTCTAGACAAAATAGCAGATATCCCTCACTACTTCTCATACTGAACTAAAAGAGAGTACCAACAGTAATGGTGGTCTCTTCTTTTAATTATAAATAGCAGTCTCTCCATCTAAACCACGGGGGTCAAACTTGATCATGTCACATGATGCATCGCAATGGGTTTTTTTGCCTTTGCGGAGCTGGGGTGGGTGTGGCCTGCGCATGATGTATCTGGCCCACAGGCCGCCAGTTTGACACCCCTGATCTAAACAGTGTAAAGAAGACTTAAAGCATGTTTAACAGATCTTTCTGGGGTGGAAATATGAAAAAGTGAGAAGGGGAGAAGGAGGTCTTCCTGGAGAAAAATATGGCTATTTTGATATTATGATTAGAGGTAGAAAACCTATGCCTCGTATTCTAAAAATTAAGAGTACTGAAGTTTACTTATGGCTGCAAACCATAAGTAAAATTCTGCGACTTTTTGATATTTGGTGGTAAATAAAAGGAAGTAGATATATAAAACTTCCAACATGCTTAATGCATCTATTAAGAAAACTTTTGCCCAATTTTCAACCTGCCAAAATGATAAAAAATCCACATGTCCTCAAAAATTATTTTAGCATAGCGAGCCTCAAATCAGAAATGTTTGGTCAGCCATCTAAAATATACTATAGTCTTTTGTTACAAGTCCCAATTATTAGACACAATTTTAGGGGCACATTTTAAAAATATGAATTTTTCAAATTTTAAAAAGTTTTCATTTTAAGAGAGCATGCCAAGTTATTAAGATAGTTTATATGTGACAAAGGGGGATACAATTTCTCATTAGGCATGTTCCCCTTCACTGGGGTTTCCAGACTGCAGTTGGACAGCCATCAGTCAAAAGTGTTCTTGGAGCTCATGCATTGAACAGAAGGTGGATCTAGCTGGCCAAGATGGATGGAAACTAATTAAGGGGAGAACCAACCTAGAACTAATGAGAACTTTCCAGACAGCAGGGACAATTAATCAATGGAATGCTTCCCTTCAGAAGTTGTGGGTGCCCCAACATTGGAGGTTTTTAAAAAGAGTTTGGACAGCTATTTGTTTGAGATGGTCTAGGGTTTCCTGCTTGAGGAAGACCTCCACGGTCCCTTCCAACTCTGTTATTCTGAATGATACAAGACAAATTCAAATTGCCTTCCATAACCATTTCAGCTTGTGCACTCATTCAGTAGTTATTCTTGCAAAACCTATGGCTGTTCAAACCAAATAGTCAACTAAGAAGATAATGAACTGGAGATCACTACTGCATTTTTTTAAAATTAATAGGGGGGGGGAAGGCGGATATCAAAAGCAAGTATGAACACACAATGAACAATTGAACATGAAAACTATTTTTAGGTATCGTCCCCCCAGCAGAGTGTTTTGCAGGTGAATTAAGATTTCAGTTTCTCTAATCCAGTTCCACTGCTATTTTTGAATTAGACTCAAAATCCAGCATACCTGAAGGGGACGAAGGGCTGTTTTGAAGGATATGTTATGCTATGTACTGAGGCATATGTAGCATCCTTGTTATTAAAACTATCTGTTCATATTTAAACATTCTTGTTAGTAAAGACATTTCAATGTGTATTAAAAATGAAGATGCACCAATTCCTTTCAATCTATTCATAAAATCAGTCAGAGCTAATCAGGATGCATCTTTCGTTAGCATTTTCATTATATCAGAGGGTTTTTATTGTCTATTGCTGAAGCTGCCAATCGTTAAAAATCATTATAATACCATATGTGTGTGCCTGTATGTACATAAAGGTAATTGTCCAGTTGGGTCCGACTCTAGGGCACGGCGCTCATCTCCGTTTCTTGGTCAAAGGAGCCAGCATTGTCCGAAGACATTTCTGTGGTCATATAGCCAGCATGACTATATACCGAGGCACATGAAACACTGTTACCTTCCCACTGAAGTGGTACCTATTTATCTACTTACATTTGCAGGCTTTCGAACTGCAAGATCGGCAGGAGCTGGAGTAACAGGAGCTCACCCTGCCACACGGCACTCGGGTCTCAAACCTGGGCTGTTAGCTTTCCAGCTGACAAGCTCAACATCTTTAACCGCTGAGCCACTGTGCCTCCTATATGTATATACCACGGCACAATGAAGTCAAACTTTGGAACTACTGAATCTCCCTAAGTTCAATCTTTAATACTGAAGCATGTCTGAAAAGTGTTGCAGTTTAGCTGGATGGCAACCTCTCCTAGCTATATCTGCTCAAAAATAAGTTCCGATGAAATCAAAATGGTTTACTTTCTAAATTTCTATTGAGGAATGACTCATATACATGTTTTACATTTTACCTTATCTAGTTGAAGCCATAGCACTTCATACAGTTTAGCCTTTCTTTTGGGTCAAGCTGGCTAAGAAATTATAGTCCAACCTATCTAGGAAAGGCTTTGTAACAAAAATAATATAAAAATCCCTGAATTTGTTTTCGCTGTCATAAGTTGTTTATGAAATACTCTGAGCTAGTTTTGTTAACCATGGTTTATTGAGTCATGGTTTACAAACTGAGCCATGACTTACAAACTGCAGAGGCTGTGTTACTGTAACAGATTAAATTGAACACACCCATTATAGCTTAGGATTTTCAATATCCAGTGTTTTACTATAAGCATTAGCAATGTAAGAGGGTGACCAATAGCATGCCATAAACCCTAATTTATGGCAGTTGTCCCGAGGGAGGGTATTTTTAGAAACCCCGTGTTAAAAATCAATTTCATTTCACAGAAGAGAACAAACCAAATCAAAACAAGGACATATCATTTTAATAGTCTATAAATAGGCCATGTTTCTAATCACGTTTAATCAAAATTCATTTCTAATGTCACCAGATGGTCCTAGTGTTGGATACTCTTAACAGAATGCCAAACAAATAATTCCTAAGCCTTTTCTGGTTTGTCTGATGCACATAAGAGCAACCACATAAAAAGATCATGTTGGAACTTGTTTAAAGTTATTTTTGTCAGAAACCTGCAAACCAGATGGAATGAATATATTTATGGGATTGAGTAAAAACTCTCTCAGGTTCCTTTTTCATATCCTTATTTTTGTATAGCCACACTGAGGCCATTTAAAACACTCCTAAAATAAAAAAAACACTTCCAATTTTTCATAAAGTACAAGCAGGCATACCGGAAACCAATGATGTAATTTTCATGGACTCAAGAGCAGAGATAACAAAATGAAATCCATTTCTTGACGATCAGATACTATATACAGCAAAATACCGGTTTTGGTAAGATTCCACCCTGAGTCCAAGGGGGACTTTCTTCATATAAAAATACATGTTCATATATTTATGATATCGAGTTCACATTTTCTTCCTTTTGCCATGAATGTGTCCTGGAGGAAGTCTAAGTCTCACTTAACAGAACAACACAGCAAACAAAGACAAATAGGAATAACTAAGCAGTTTTGTCAGTACCAACAACTTGATGATGTAAGAGCTATAGGAAGGATGAGACCACCCTTTGCCAAATTCTGCACAAAGGCAGAGAAACTATCCTTCCTGTTTTTAAATTTGGTCAATCCATTCACTATTAAGCCTGTCAAAATGACTTAAAAGTTTTGAACCATTCCTTTGGTACAAGGATGACTTATGCACATGCCCTTTTCTGAGATAGCAGCAATTTGCTACTGTGGTCAAATGGTAACTCTCCTATCAGTCTGTTTATTGATTCAGGACCACATCCATTTCAGATCATTCACTATCTCCTTCAATAAACCATGTCTTCTTCATGTTGCTCAATGAAGGTTTTGGTGGAAAATCAGAAATCAACCCATATCTTCTATCCAGGGCAGAATCCAGATTTTCCAGCTGGACCAACAAAAGCTTTGCTGGTAAATTGTTCCCTTTTTCCAGATGGCCTCTCAGGTCATGGATGTTGGGCTGTTCATTTCTTAAATGGTGTCAGTTTGTTAAAAGTGTGCCAGAAAAGGGATGGTTTCCGCTTTGGTTCTGCTAGGGCAAACACCTGCTGCTGTGGAATACTAGTGGGCACTGTAACATGACGCTGATGGATAGGATGCAAACTCTGGTGTGGCGGTGGCACTGGGCATCCATTATAACTGACACCTGTAGAAGAAAACAATAGCCAAAGATTATAATTCAGGACCTATTCACATGACACTTTTTGCTATACATCAGGAAATAGGAATCAGAGGCCAGGGCAGTCTCACCATTAGGCAAAATTACAAGGACCAAACATGGTAAATTGGAGCCAACTCCCTTTGCTGTCCACCACTTTACTCATTATAAGTGTTAAGAATGGGAGTATACAACAGATAGAGAAAAAGCTCGTGGGGTAATAGGGCAATAGAAGAAGGGAAACTGGGAGATCTTCTTTTCTACTCAAGCAGCAGTCCTTCTCCTACCTCAAATAGCATGTTTTTTGAGACAGCATTGCTGTGATACTCTAGTTTTCCTGAAACTACATACCTGGCTAATTCAGAGAGCAGGATCCAAAAAGAAGCTGATCCAAACAGCATGTTTAACCAAATCTTCTAAAGACAAAATGTATTCATATAACTTGTTTAACCATTGTTAATTTCTTTTGTGTGTATTATGTAAACAGAGCATGCTAGTTTATGATTAAATTATTGTGTAAACCTAGAAAATGAAACATATTAACTAATACAGTGAATGGGTTCTGGGAGTCATAGTTCAACACTATATATATATCATAGGTTCATCATCCTGTTCTATTACCAGGGACCCCCTATATCTACAGTCATGTACTTATGAACATAATGATACATATGGATTAACAACCAGGAGTGATATCTTGCCAATATCCAGCTAGTGAAGCATAGGAAAATCTAACCCGTTGCATCTACACTGCCTAGTCTATGTGCCACTTCTTTATACCTTTAATACCCAAGAAAACAAGATTATTCATCTGAAAGGAAAGGTATCTTGGGTGAACCAGTCTTTGGTCATGGTGGGGGAAGATGCTTTAAATATTCACCTTTCATTTTTCCATTTCTTGACTTCCGTGCATTTTGCATTGCTTGCTTCTTTTGGTTTTCTGAGATTTCCATTCCTATGTTTGAAGGATAAATGATAGAAATTTTAATGCTATTTCAAGAACGAGATTGTAATATGTTGTTAAAGCAAAGTTCAATAAAAAGCATCACTGAGTAACAATCTAATTTCAAAAGAGGAGATGCATCACAATTTAATAAGAGTGTGGACTTTATACATAGAAAACCTCAGTTTCAATTCTCAACATCTCTGCAAGGATGTCATAACTTCTGAAAAAGGTAAACAAGCCATTGCCATTGAGTGTAGAGAATACTGAGAAAATGGACAAATGGTTTGATTCAGAATAATGCAGATTTGTCATTCCAGAACAGTTCTACCAAAACGAACTAGGTAAGTGGAAATCACAAGGAATTATTCCTGAGAATCTGGATTTGCCCCTTTCAGTCATAACAGTACATAACAACATATTTAAAAGTTGTTCATTATTTAAAATTAACCACCTAACTCTGGGTGTTGAGTCCATTGATACCAAAACCCCATCAGAAATAAACAAAATATTGCACCTTGGCTTTAATTTTAAAAAAATCAGTAATGCGATCCTTCCAGCCCATTGATGGAACGACTCTAAGCACAAAGCATTTAATCACAATCAAACTGAATTTTAAAAAATCATAAAATTTTACATGCTACAATCTCACAACATTTGGGTTACATCATGAACATTTTCAATATAGTTTTGGTGATTTGGGGAGTTAGGCAACGAGGCCAGTGGGAGAGACTGTGCAATGGGAAAATATTCCAAATTTCCACTCTAAAGTTTTCGCTTAGCAAAAGATAATACTTACCCATTTCTTTGTCTTCTTGCACTCGTCTCCTCTCATTTATACAAGCCTCCAGCCACTTTTTTTTATCACCTGGCTTTTTCCCACAAAATAGGTGAACTTCTTCTGTAGCATTATTTACAATTTTGAAAGCATTTTTTACGGAGATATTAAAGTCTTTGTCTTTGCCATCCTCAACATCTACCACCTCCATTTCGTCCATGTCCATCCGGCCTTTGTAATACAACATGTCCCTTCTCAATAAATCCTTCTTACAGAACACAAGCTGATGGTCAAAAAGAAAGAATGTTCTTTGCTGACTTTTGCCTTGTTTGGAGATTTTGGTCAATTCCCCTGAGTGGATTAATTCAGAGCTTTTGCCTAAGATGTCTTGCCCCTAAAGCATTTGTAAAAAAATGAAAAGAAAAGGAGATAGCAAATTTTACTTTATTAGCACCATGAATGATGTTAGATAGATAAATAATTCATGCTTCTATTAATCTTTACTATTAATCTATTAATCTTTAGTCTCCAATATGGTAGCCACCAAGCCTGAACTGCTTGCCACTCTTTTTTTATACCTATGTCAGTAAATGTAGCAAAACCTTCCCTCACCAGAATGGGGAAGACATCTCACTCCACCCCATCGCCAATTTAAAATATTAGAGCTAGCTGTTACCTATGTTAACTATCATCAATAGATCCCTGACAGGAGGTTCATTTGTCCCTCCTCTCCATCTCCAGTTAAGCCAGTGAAATGGTCTGTTGCGTACATAAATATTGAAGATTATTTCTTGGTGAACAACAGCCACAGACAATATCTATCCCTGTCAGAGACCCTTGTGGCAATACTCTAAAGCAGGGGTCTTCAAACTTGGCCCTTTTATGGCTGGCTGAGGAATTCTGGGAGTTGAAGTCCAAAAGTCATAAAAGGGCCAAGTTTGAAGACCCCTGCTCTAGAGTGTTTGGTGGGACGTAAGCTTTTCTCCCGTTATTCACCTGGAGCTACTATCTTAAAGTCACTAAAACATTGTTTAAGTCACTTAAGAGAAGAACTGTGAAGTCTAGGCTACACAAAAATCAAGACTTCAGTAGCACTTTTTCAGACTAATACTTTTATTGAAAGGCCTAAGCTTAGTCATAAAAGCTTATGCCTTTTAACCCTAGAGAAAAGAGAATAAAATATAAATGTACTTGCAATTGCAGCAGCTTCTTTTCTTGTCTTCCTTTATCTTTTCTATTTCACTTTTTGGACTTTTTCTCACATACTTAATACGTTACTTTCCTTACCTTTCTCTTTCAAATTTGTATTTCCATTAATTTTTTAAAATAAAAATTCCATAGGGATTTCTTTCTACTGAAGAACGTGATCTTTGCCTCTGTCTCTTTTTCTCTGTTTCAAACTTTGTGGTTGTGCTTATAACCCTGTTTTTAGTTATAGCAATATGTGCAGAGGCCCTAAATGATAGTTGGCCACTCCAAAACAGAATTGAACAGGCTGATTCAAATGTTTACTGAATTCTGAACCTAAACATACATGATTGTACTGGATTTTAGATTTAAACCAAATTATCTCTCCAATCCAAGGGTTATCAGAAAGGTACCTAAGGATTCCAGGATTTTATTATACTCTTAAATAGTGCCCCAGTCTCCAAGATCATGGACTATGATTGCCAAAATCTCTCAAAAAATGGAACTGTTTTAAAAATCCCCCCCCCCAAGTTGCCAATCCCAGTTCAATGAGATTACTTGCAGCAGTTTTACAAAAATAACCAAAAACTAGGAGAGCCCAGTTAAGTAAAAATGCCTCTCCTTTGCACAGATTATACCCTCAAAATGTAGAGTGTGAAGAAAAACTAACCAGTATTCAGGAAAAAGAAAAACCTATATTGACTCTAACTTCACCTCTTCTCAATTTCAAGTATACAACTAAATATCACCCAGCTGCTACAAAAATCTCTGTAAAATCCCCAAGTAAGTAAATAATTGAGTTCAGTGATTTCTAACATTGCTTCTTGGTTTGGAATGATTCTGCTGTTCTTAAGATTTTTTTAAGCCTTTTGGAGGAGAAGCAGAAACAATTTGGTGCAGCTGAGTTGTTGAGTTTTTAGGACATCAGCCACTTGATGAATCATTGAGAAAAATAAAAGTGAAATAAATTAATAAATTATTTGAAGTAAATCATAATCACCACAATGGAAATGAACAACCACCTTTTTACAGTGGAAGCAGCACAACATAAGAAAACACCCCTTGAAACAGTGGGGAGAAACCCTGGGTCTTCAAGCTTGAAAAATGCCTGGCAATGTTTCCTCACCTCCCAACTGACAATGGAGACTTGCCAGCGAGCAATCTTGTCTATACTTTCTAGCCTTCGTTTGCGTTCATTGATGAGGCAAGCTACGTTCTTCATGGTTTCGTGTGCTGCCTTGATATTGTTATAGTCACTGTTAAAGAAAGAAAGATACTGGTCAATCCCTGCAGAGGATGCATCTTATTCATTTACTAGATTAATATCCTACTTTAATAAAAAAAAGTGACCCTGAGCAGTTTATACCTACCTGATTCAGTAATCAAGCCAAAAAAATACAAAGTCAAAACAATAGCAAAAACCACAGGAATGATCAGTCTAATAAAGGAAAAAAAATAATTGTAATACTCCATAAATACATCGCATTAAGCATTCTCCTACAAGAGGGAATTATCCTATCTGCCAAATTCCAAAAGGTTGCTGAAACAGCAATGTCTTAATAGCCTTACAAAATGCCACACATATAGGAAACAATCTATAGTCTCTTTAGCATCTTCTCTGACAGACGTTTATGGGCAGTGGTGAGAGTGGCAGGAGACTCCATTTCTACAAGTACCATGATGGATTCTTCCCACCGAACAGAGACAATGGCTCTAACAGCAACCCCTTTGTTAGGCAGAGAGAACATGGGGCAGCTCAGATAAAAGGAAGGCTGAAGCCTTTTCTGTACAAAGCTCTACAAATCTTTTCAAAATCTCCAAGACAGCCCTGCATTAATCCCAAAGAACAAAGACAACAAATATCTCCCACACTCCTCTCTATCTGGAGTGTAGCTGCAGTTGAAAGGGATTTATATCCAAAAAGGGTGCATAAGATAACCAGCGCAATTTCCTGTCCAGGTTGCATATTAACTGTGTTTTTTTAAAAAAATGAATCCCACACTTAATTGCCTCATTGTCTGAGCACTTTTACAATGGAAATTAGAGCTTTCAGTCTTGTTGGAAAAAACAGATTGCCTGTGGAGCAATTTTTGAAACCACCTTTAAATTTAGAAAAGATGTTCCAAACAACCCCTACGGTACTTCTGGCATGATTCATCTAAGAAACCTCTAGCATGATAACAGTCCTGTAAAAAGACCGTATGATTTCAACAAGTACATTTTTGCAATTAACTGAAAAGACCATAAACTGAGTTCTCAACTGCTGCTATGGATACTTCAAACAGTGCAAATTTGCCATTTTCCTCTCATTCCTTTTAGAGAAGTGACCCACAGGCCAGGGGGCCAGCAAAATTGCCAAACCATTTACAACATTCCTAGAAAGCACTGAAAGACCAATACATTAAATAAAAATGTAACATTCAAAATCTTCCACGAGTATTAAACTCACACAATCCCACCATTTTCAAATCAGATTTCATGAGCTTATATGGGAACACTGAAGTCTTGTGAGTTCTTGCATGACTCCTAGATAAGGGTGCTAAAATCTCACTAGCAATTTAAAAAAAAATTGATGGCAAGACAGCCTGCATAACATTAGGCAAGAAGGTTCAGTGACTGAAAAGGTTATAGACCTCTGTAGCTCTGATAACAACTCCCTAGGCTCTTAAGCAGATTGTTCCAATTAAAATAATCACAGAGCTAGTACTAGGGTATACCTAGGACTGACCTTGTCTCTGAATTACAACTCTCTCCTTGCATAGTTACTGACTTTTATGTTCATTCTAATGGTGAGATAGAATGTGCTGAGAGGTACTGAGTGGCTCAAAGAAATCTAGGAAGAAGTTAGTTTGTGTTAGATTACATTTCCTTTTTTCATCAGCCTGCAATGTCCATGTAGGAAGTGGGTGATTTATACTGTTGCGAGGGTATAGGATTACAAGAGGGATGTACAGTCATGTAGTTTGAAAGTCATGGGAGCTGTCATCCAGCCTATCTTTAGAGCTCTCGGGTGAAAAGTTGGATATCAAGCAAGTAAAGTTCCTCTTTATTTGATTACGCAGTCCATGCACTTTCAGTCCATTCAGAATAGCAGAACTTATAACAGACATGTTAAGCAATCAAAAAGTATTAAAACTCTGAATCATAGTTTATCATCCAACAGATCACTTTCTCTCACACTAGTAATTTCCATTCAGTTTGTAAGAATTAGAAAACAGTTCAGTGAGGTGTGGAGAATTGATTGGTTTATCTTCTAAATCAATCTTTCCTACCTTAGTAAGTAGCTACAACTCTCGGCATTCCACCCATTGACTATGCTTGCTGAGAGCTACAAAAAGTTGTAATTCAAAAACTATATCCAGAAGGGCCTCAGCTCCTCAATCTGTCACAAAAATTGACAGTGCTGTCTGTAAATTCTGGGAGTTGTAAGTCCAGCATATCTTGAAAGTGTCGGGCTAGGGCGGTGTAAGGCTAGCTCAACTATGTTTTTAAGAGGTTGAGGATCCCCTCTCCACAAGGTTATAAAATTGTTTCAAAACAATTGTTTCATCTTATCCTTGTCACACTGCACAAAAAATGCTAAAATCTCAATAGGTCTCCTGCAAAATGATTGAAATCTAATAGGATTTTGTCATTCTTGTCCAAAAACTTTACGAGAGCCAACCATTTCCACTTTAAAATTTAATTCCATGGGGTATAGGGGTATCATGGGCTGCATGTGCTGCGTTCCAGTCCAATTTAACTGAATGCTCTCAACTAAAATACATAATTTACATTTCAGCACAGTTTAACAATTTTACCTACTTCTCAAGATGGTTTAGAAGTTTCTTTTCACTATCACTAAGAATTGTATATGAAGAGGACATACAAATTTAAACCTGTGCTTCTGGAAAAATTGAAAGGCAAGGGTGCAATTGAAGGGCTCTCTTTTTTATTTGTGTGCTTGTGATGGACATGAAAAAAGGAGGAATGTTTATTGCACCCATCATGGCTGCTTTCATTTGATCATATCCTTTTCAGGGGTAGTCAACACTGGCTCAGGAATTCTGAGAGTTGAAGTCCACAAGTCATAAAAGAGCCAAGGTTGATTACCCCTGCTTTAGATCATATCCTGCAAGCATCCTTGGTCAGTGGATAGAAGCTAACCTGAATGTGGAACGTTCCCACAGAAAAACCTAACCAGTTGGCCTTACCTATGATCCTGAGTGGTGTACTTCAATAATTCAGCAAGCTGCAAGGGATATTTACAGATTTTCTGAACAGGAGTGAGAAGGAAACCATCAATGGCAATGTCAATCATTTGCTGAAGGAGGCGACAAGCTTCAAAAAAATGGCGATATTTGCTCTGCTTCATCAGGTTGGAAAGCTCAAGGCAGGCTCCAGGGTGATTGTTACAATACTCAGAATAGATTGCAAATCCTTCTTGCTAAAAGTAAAAACAAAAATACAAAAACAATTTTAAAATATCTCGCAGCTGGAAGGAGAAAACTAAAGGCACAGATAAACTGCAAGCTGTAGAAATTGCTTTCGCAATCCTGCAGCTGTTTCAAAGTGAAGAAAGGGAGAGGACAGGGATGTAAGACACCTGGATTTCCTGCAAAGGCACAGAAACAATATGACTGTTTCTCAGAAAGCTGACTAAAAATGAATAATTGAGCTTGGCAATCAGTCAGGCATGCAGGACCCAGAATGAATGAATCCCTGCAGCAAAGCCCCTTAGTGCAGCCCCAGCACCAAACTGTTGAAAATCTACAGCACAGTTCTCTAACGTTTAGAGATGAGAAACACTAAAAACTGGTATAAGCCTAAAACAGAGGTGTCAAACTCGCAACGTCACATGACAAGTCGTGACGTATTGTGACTTTTTTTTTCCATTGGGGTGGGCACAGTTTTGGCATGACGCATCCAGCCCATGGGCTAGCAGTTTGACACCCAAGCCCTAAAATATACTTACTATAAACCCCCAAGTCCTGGCCCTTTTTGCATAATCAGCCTCCTCATTCTGACCTTTGCCTCTTCAGAAAACATAACTTTTACTGAATTATGCTGACGTTAATTCTGCAGTGTTGTCTCACTGTAGGTTTCTCCAGTTCACCAAATTCCCTTTCTCTTGCTCTTTACTACTTAGTCAAATGAGGCTATTTAACCAACTTACATGCTGAAGAAAGCAGGATCCTATTTCACTTAAGTGGGGCTCTTCTTTGTTGTACTGCTTTTCTAGATCTTTCAAAAATTTTCTTTGGAATTTGTAAATATCTTCAATATTTCCAAATATGGTGCTTAGCTGGGCCGATGTGAACATTCCGGTATGTTTGCGACATTGCCGAATGTATCCCTAAGAAATCCAACCGAAAAAGGTCTTAATATTGATCAGGGTAACTAAAAATTGAAGGTAAGCACTCTACCACTTTACATTAAAAGAAGTTCAGTCATAACATTTCCTTACTTGTCTACTGCAATCATTCTGTAGATTTCTAGGGAACAATTATTTTACACAACTCAAAGTCAATATACAGGGATTGAATTCTACAGCATTACAGAATTAATTTACTTTAAGGAAGTAACAACTGTTTTAATTCAGCATCTGGACAACACATTTCAATTTGCTCCCAGACATCTATATTATATTTCTATGGCAAGAAAATCTAGTGCAGTATACTGGAATAGGCTCATGACTTGGTTTTCTGCTGAAAAAACACACCATAGTCTGAGTAGTAGCAAATGCCTTTCCGTATCTTTTCAAAACAAAGTTGGGGAAATATTTATAACAAGTCAGTGTCTCTTTCACTTGGGAAAGTGATCGGAAGAGCTTTTGATAGACACAGGGTCAGTTGAGACAAAGCAAAAATATTCAATAGAAGTCATGATCACCAGCAACCTTTATTCTGTAAAACAGAAAAAGACTTTTTTTCAAATTTTATAATAAATATTTGTTATTATGGCACTGACTTATTAAAGGTAGTCCTCAACTTACGACTACAATTGAGCCCAAAACTTGTTGTTAAGTGAGACATTTGTTAAGTGAATTTTGTCTCATTTTACAACCTTTCTTGCCTCAGCTGTTAAGTGAATCACTGTGGTTGATAAGTTAGTAACCCAGTTATTAAGTGAATCTGGCTTCCCCATTGACTTTGTTTGTCGGAAGGTCACAAAAGGTGATCACATGATCTTAAGACACAGCAACAGTCATAAATATGAATTAGTTGCCGAGCATCTGAATTTTGATCACATGATCATGGGGATGCTAGAAAGGTTGTAACTGTGAAAAACGGCCATAAGTCACTTTTTTTCAGGGCCGTTGTAACTTTGAACAGTCACTAAATGAACTGTTGTAAATTGAGGACTACCTGTAGTTCCTTTCTTCTCTTTGCCCATGTTGCCTTTCCTGTCACTTTCTTCTGTTTTTCTCTGTTTTTTCCATACTGCAGCCTTATGTTGACTGACTCAGATGGACTGACCTGCTGGAAATGACTTTGTCCACAGTAATGACCTGATGTTCTTCCTGGACTGTGTGGACCAGATAACCTTGCTGGGATTTTCTCTTACATCATTATAGCTCCCATCCAAGCCAGGAAAGACCCTGTGCTTTGTGGTTTCTATTGACAGAATTTCTGCATAAACTCAACCAGTTGACTCACCCTTGTACTTGATACCTTCCTGTCTAATATCCATCAATGGACCAGGAACTAAATAAATATATAAAACATTTCTGTCACTTGGGCCATCACTATTTCTCAAACACTAATTTGTTCTGTACCAGGAAAAGACAGGGGAAGGTGGCCTTCCCAGTGGTCTGGGGAGCAAAAAAAAAAAAAAAAAAGATAGAAGTATAATATGGCTTGTAGCCCATACTTGCACTGGGGCAATGTGGATGTGTGAATCAGCTTAAATCACATCACAGAAAAAGAAAGGAACAGTCAGAAGGGTTTTTGTGATACTGCTTTTCATTAGGGACCACGTCACTTTTCTGGACGGCTCATAGACTCTACACGACAAAAGTTGGGTTCTTTTCTTCTCCCTTATTACATTATCATTTTATAGCTTACCTCACAGATGTCTTTCAGATGTTTGATATAAATCTTCTCTGTGTTCATTATTTCCTGAATTACATTGGTTCTCATCTGATCTTTGTTTTCTGCTATTTTTTGGCGATGCTTTTCAGGATCTATATTTGGCTCTTCATTTTGGAGGCCACTAGAATATTCTTCAGGTTCTTCTTGATTGACTCGTAGCTGGAATGAAAAGTAGAATGGAGACCAAACAACTGAATTGAAAAAGTACACCTATATCCAACATCATTCCAGAAATATAATGTCAATATGAGGGCAATGTACTTGATATTTTTTAAGTATCTTCTCTAGGTATACCTAGGATTATTTCCCACATTCATTACCATATTTCTACAACCGTTATCAAAGTTTCCCTACAAATAATCATGTCAAATAACATGATGGCGATTATATGACCTTTTCAGTTGTGCTATCCCATTTCTGAATGCCCTCCTTAGAGCAGGGGTGTCAAACGGCCAGCCCGTGGGCCATGACCATGGAGATGCTTCAATAAGTGGGATAAATGGTCATAAGTCACTTATTTCAGCGCCATTGTAATTTTGAATGATCACTAAATGAATGGTTTTAAATCAAGGATTATCTGTATTTCATATTTTCATAGAACAATTTTAGAGGCTTTCATGGCTATAAAATAGAGTAGGAGTTCCCTGTGCTCTGGACAGGTTGTCCACCTGTTGTTTTAGATATTACCAGTTAAAAATCAGTATGGAGAGGTTGCATTTTAATTAGAAAGATACAACAAGTGATCTCAAGAATAATTTCAATTAACAACAGCTTAACTGTCAACAGTGGAACCTCTTAGCCTTTATATTGCCTATTTAGCCTTTACAATATGCTTTTTGAAATCATTACTTATTAATGGTTTTCTCCTGCAAGCAGAAGAAAAAATGATATTCTTCAGAATCAGCAATTTGGAAAGATTAAATGCCTGCACACAAGGGAAATAGTATTTGGGAATGAAAAAATAAAGCTGACTTTGGTCTCTGTCTATGCTGATGATACCCAATAATACCTCTCCTTCCCTGGCTAAGTGATGCTATCCTGGTGCTGGACCAGTGCTTAGAAGCTGTAATTGATCCAGAATGCAGCAATGATGTAGATCTGAGTGCTCCACATTTTTCCTATATTACAGCACTGCTGTGTGAGCTACACTGGCTTCTGGTTTCTTTCCCAGTGCGATTCAAGATGTTGGGTATCCCCTTTAGAGCCCTAAATGGCATGAGACCAGGCTACCTGCATGACTGCCTCTTCCTGAGGATATTTGCCCATCCCACTAGGTCAGATAGATTCCTTCCCTTAAACGAGGGGTCCCCTGCCCATGGCCCACTACTGGGTCATGGCCCATTCGGAACCGGTCTGCAGAAGTGGCAGGTGAGAGCGCATGCGAGTGCAGCTCCATTCATGCATGTGGTGGTCATTTGCGCAAGCAGCTCCATTTGTGCAAGTGGCACGCATGCACACTTGTCTGCCACTTGAGCAAACGGAGTTGCACATGCTCGCACGCATGCCTGCTACTCCACGGAACCATCCTTCCCTACCACCACCAGTCTGCCAAACCAGAAAAGTTTGGGACCACTGCCTTAAATATCATATAGTGAGAGCCTCCTCTAAAACTGCCCCTGCAGTTGTGTTCCATCCTTTCCCCAGAGTTCAGGTAGATTCAACCTCCTTGCCTTCTGAAAGGTCTTGAGGAGCTGTCTCTTCTGGCAAGCATGGGGGTGGAAAAGGCAAAAGCCCAGCAAGATGATGATGTACGGAAGACTACTGCCCCAAGGTGCAATAATTTTACTTTATAATTTGGGGGCTACTAATGTTTTAGCTGTACAGTACCTGGAGTTGTTGCTACAATATAAACATCAATATAAGTCTTTTGAAATAAACAGACAAGCAAATAAATAAGCAAATACATAAATAAATAAGGTCTCTATACTAGATTGGGAAGCTGGAAAAAAAACACATCAGAAGAAGGCAATGGCAAATGCATTTGCATTATTGTCATAACATTACCCAAAGATGGTCCATGTCACCAAGAATTGAGCTCAGCTCAAGAAAGATTATTCTATGTACAGTACAGTACAAAACAAACAGAAAGAAATGGAAGAGCAGGACAGTAATGATTTTAATAGATGGGAATAACTTGAAAAATGAAAAATAATCCAATGAATCCCTGTAGTCTAGAGGTCTTGGTGGGAAAGAAAGCAGGACAGAATTTAACCAGGTCTCCAAGGATTAAACAAGTGCTTGAAAGCTAGAGAGGTCTTGCTTCACTTACTCTGACAAAACTGGCTGGAAACCAAGCTTCCTTGTCTTCATTTCTTCCCCACCACCAATCTTTATTGGAAGCTTCAAGGACTTGGATGACTTCTCCAGCTTTGAAGGCTAATTCCTGATCATCCATGGTCACGTGATCCCAGAGAGCCTCGGCACAGACCACATTTCCATCACTTATCAGCTGCAATAAAAACATGTTGTTAAAAGAAAAAGATCTTGCTATACCCAAAGGGTAAGGATCAGTAGCCACTGCAGTGACAAAAATGTGGAACCTTTTACATATTTTCGGTTGCAATGTCTGGAAATTCCAAAGTTAGAAATTTACCTCACTGACAGCTAGCTGCTCGCCTCCAGGCTGCAAGTACCTTGGGTGGGCATGGCAGAGTTCTTCATAGCCGTAATCCTCTTCACTGCCATTATCATCCACTAAAGCTGGAGATTCAGAGGTACCATCTGCAGCACCTGGCGGGAAAGGGAAATTCTGAGAAATTAGGTATTGTCAAACCATTACATATTTGTTTTACAAAATGCTTTCTTAAAATGGCACCAGATTCTGATTTTTTATTTATCATAACCACTTGCATGAACAGTAAAGCATACCAATCTACTAGAACAGAAAAAAGCTACTAAAAACATATTCAAAGTAAGGAAAAGAATTGAATGCATACAGGTGGTCCTCAATTTACAACCATTCATTTAGCGACCGTTCGAAGTTACAATGCCACTCAAAAAGTAACTTTACAAATGGTACTTATTTACAACTATCATATCATTCTAACAGCCACATGATCAAAGTTCAGATGCCTGGAAACCGGCATGAAACCAGCTCAGACATTTGTCTGAAATGGTATAGGGCAGGGGTAGGCAACCTTGGCTCTTTTATGACCATGCTGGCTCAGGAATTCTGGGAGTTGAAGTCCAGGAGTCATAAAAGAGCTAAGGTTGCCTACCCCTGGTATAGGTAGTTTCCTCTTTGAGCAGATAGTTGGACTAGAAGACCTCCAAGTTCCCTTCCAACTCTTGTTATTCTGTTATTAATTAGGTATAATGGAAGAAATCCTTTTTTTAACAGCTCCCCCCAATTAACTAAGGATATCCTTCTTCCCAATTTAATGCTTTGTGTCATTACACAGAAGAATATTGTTATAGGGTATGTTTCCAAGATTCTATCAACACAGTTGATTAGAAATTTTCTCATAATGTATAGATGAGAGTAGTCACCATCCCTTATTTATTTATTAGGCTTTTATCCTGTCTTTATTTCTTTATAAATAACACACGGTGGCAATTGTATCTAATATTCCTTCTTCCTCCTATTTTTTCCACACCAACAACCCTGTGAAACGAGTTGGGCTAAGAGAGAGAGTGACTGGGTCAAAGCCACCCATCTGGCTTTCATGTCTAAAGTGGCACTAGAACTCACAGTCTCCTGGTTTCTAGGCCAGCACCTTAACCACTATGCCAGGGGTAGGCAACCTTGGCTCTTTTATGACTCGTGGACTTCAACTGAGCATAGCTGACTCAGGAATTCTGGGAGTTGAAGTCCACGAGTCATAAAAGAGCCAAGGTTGCCTACCCCTGCACTATGCCAAACTGGCTCTCATTTTTGAAACAAAGCCTGAGAACCAATGAACAGCAAGGTGTAAATATATTAATTATTTAAATACTAGTGTTAATATATTTTCCCAAAAATTCTGTGCCTGCACATGCCTTACAGAAGGTAGGAAAGCCAGTGGCTTTCAATTGCTAATGTCCTTCCATATTGATTACGTTGGATGGGAGACCTGAGAATGGAATAGTTCAGGAGAACAAAACAGTCACAGGTTTTCCATTATCCAGAGTGATGTTAAGTCATCTTCTGAATAATCCTCATTTCAATGTTTGGAGAAATGTTCTCTTGTGAAAGAGAACCTTTTCAGTGGTGGTGGCCCCATAAGCTAGAGAAAAAAAGGCGCTCACATTGCTATCTTTTAATAAAGGGTGATTTTTTGTTCTACCAAAGTTTCTTTTCTTGTTTCAGATGATACCTATTTTAAAAAAAGATGTAAATTTGGAGGAATGGCAGAAGGGTATCAATAAATTCATTTGGGCTGGGAAAAAAACCAAGGGTTAAATTTAAGATTTTGCAAGATGCCCGAGAAAGAGGACTTAAAGCATCTAACTTGAAATTATACTATGATGCAGCAGCCTTAACTTGGATAAGTGATTGGCTTAATTTAACAAATAAGGATATTCTTGTTCTTGAAGGGTGGGATTTAATGTATGGTTGGCATGCATATTTAATTTTTAATAAGAAAGTGGACCGGGCTTTTAAATTACATATTTTGAGGAGTGCCTTACTTCGAGTTTGGAAAAAGTATTATTATAGGTTAAACTATAAAATACCTATCTGGGGGATTCCTAGACATGCAATTGAGGGGATTTCTAAGGGGATGAACTTTGATAAAATTTCGTATAAAGAATTATTAATCTGGTCAGGTTCGGATTGGCATTTAAAATCTCTAGATGTATTAAGGCAAGAAAATATTCTACAGTCATGGTTTCAATATTTACAAATAGTGGACAGGTGGACTGTAGATAAGAAAGAAGGAATAACACTAGAAGATGGAAATCTGGTTATTCAGATTAAAGATCAGAGTCAGGCCCATATAAAAAGAATTTACAATGCTTTAATAGAATTAGACTCTGAAACAGAATTGGTTAAAGACTGTATGATTAAATGGGCTCAGAATATCCAGGATCTGATCCCATTGGACTTATGGGAGACAATTTGGATTAGAAATGTTAAATTTACACAAGCTCAAAATTTGAGGGAAGATTTTTATAAAATGTTTTACAGATGGCATTTAGATCCTAAAAAATTATCTTGTATGTATCCAAATTTACAACCCAAATGTTGGAGATGTGGTAATATGGATGCAACATATTTTCATGTTTGGTGGAATTGTAAAAAGATAAAGGCTTTTTGGATTATGATTTGGTGGAACATTCAAAAGATTTTTAAAAGGAAGATAAAGTTTACCCCTCAATTATTCCTATTGGGTATCTTTGTGGATTTAAATGACAAAGAAACTACTTTAATGTTGAATTTATTAACTGCAGCAAGGTTAGTAGGCTCATATTGGAAGAAGGACTCATTGCCTACTTTAGAAGAATGGATATTTAAAGTTTCTAACTTTGCGGAAATGGCAAAAATTTCTGCTTATTTGAAGGATCATACACAAGAAAGATATACTATTGTATGGAGAAGATGGATAGATTATATTCAGAAAAAATATGGTACTATAAAGTTTCATTTATTTTATGAGTAAATTTTATAGTAACTGCTGTAGAGATTTGTTTATATGTTTTAATTTAAGGGGAGTTAAAGGTTAAGTATGATGTTTTTTTTCTTTTTTCTTTCTTTTTCTTACTTTTTTTTACTATTGTTAACCTTCTTATTAATAACCCTGTACTCTGCTCTGGGAAGCGAGGGGGGGAGGGTTGAGGGTGGGTGGGTGGGTGGGTGGGTGGGTAATGATAATATAGTCATGGCAAATGCTTGGGCATTTCCCCTATGCTGCGTTCATGTGTGTGAGAGGGATGAGAGGGGAGGAAGGAGTAGGGAGGAAGTAGGATGGTTAGAGGAGATGGGGAGGGAAAGAGAGTAGAAGGGGAGGAGAGAAAGAAGAGGGAAGTAGGGAAGGTTTAGAGAGGGTGGACGCAGCCTGGGGGGAATGGGCAGGCGGTACCAATGGTTAATTGTATTTTGTATGAATAAATGGAAAATAAAAACTTTTTTAATAAAAAAAATAAAGGGTGATTTTTGTGTTCTTCAAAAAAAATTAATACTTTACTTTTGTTATCCCAGGAACAGTGCATGTAAATAATGATCCATCAAATTATATCCTTTCTACTTTTGCTACTACAAGTTTTAATCTTTTTAAGGCACTGCATTTCAGGAGTCTTAAATTTTTAGAGCTGTACAAAATATTTAACTTACAGATATTTTAAAGTAGACTAGATCTGTCCTCCTGAAAGCTTCAGACTAATCTTTTTCTTTAACTTCTTTTGTTTAGAATAAATCAAAAAGGTAAGAGTAATTAGAATAAAGTATTTCACTGATCACAATCACAACATAGGAAATATTCCTATAAACAAGAGGCACACAGATTAAAAACTGATGAAGTCACAGAAATGCAAAACATATTTGAAAGCCATCTTCATTAAGATCCATCATTGGTTTCTAGCTTAATACTGCATCTGAATTTAATTGTCTAGCTTTTTAGCGAGTTTTAAAGCAGATACCCATTAAGAAGGTAACACAAATTGGAGCTGATTCATCCACCGAAATTAGCTTTGACTCTGTATAGCTAGCTTATTATTTCTTGTTCACTGTAAGTATCACTCTATTGTTTACTGTCTGAAGCAAATAAGCATGGGCAATTTTTAATCTCTTGAACAGGAACATCAAAACCAAAAGCAACAGCGAAGTCATTTTCATTATTTTTCAGTCTCACGATTCTACTAAGCTTTCCAGTTAAAACATGATATTTGATACCCAAGTCTAGGCCTATGTTTAAACAATTTAAATCCCAAATGCCACAAAGAATAAATGGAACTCATCTCCTACATCAACATACTTATCTGAAGGCTTTCCAGGCTCCAAAACCGAGTTTTATCCCCTCTGGCTACCATTCTGCTATCCAGAAGATCATTCACCTTGCACCTGGTTTACATTCAAACCAGGAATCCTTTTTAATCCGTAAACAAAATTTATCACAGGTCACGGAAGCTGCAGCTATTGGAAATGCCGAAATTGCTTATTCATTGCTTTGAGCGTCTGTTGCTGCATTTCAGCCAAACTGTGCTTTAAAATGACAGCTCACTCTCTGAATGTATAGCTGTGGGTTTAGTGCCCTCAGTGACATCATGGGAAATCCATAGGAAGTTATGAAAGAAACAAAGATATACAGACAAATAGTGCACATGCAGCATTCATCCATATAAGCCTAGCCAATTCTTTCCTTATTGTCATCAAAGCACTGATTTATTATTATTATGGTTGGTCAAACAGTCAACCAGATGTTTACACTATATCTGGCATTTTTATCCACCTATCAAGTTCTTTCCAAGGACCACAGGTAGCCAGATGCTGTTTGAACAGGTTACAAGATGTAATCTATTCTAAGTAAAGCTGCCTTTTGCAATTGACCAAGGATGATTTTTGTCAATGCCGATGGAGTTCAAATAGTGCTCCAGATGTTTGGGGATTGCACCCAAGGAACTATTACTATTGTTATTATTATTATTATTCTGAATTAGACTTTCACTGGTCATTCAGATCCATCTTTTTTAAAAAAAATATAAAACAAAAACCTTCACCTTCCTTTCCTCAAATGTTGAAGAGCTACATTTGTCTCCACAGCATTTACATAATAATAATTCACTTTATGCAAAATGTGCAGACATCGCATTATTGG